CGTGGCAGCCACTCCAGGAGTCAGCACTGAACAGTTACTGATGGTGTTTCAAACCTGGATTTTCTGGGGTCCTTGTGCTGCTCTAAGTATTGGTACCCTGATGTGGCCTCTGGCCCTTGTCTGTGCAGTGTCCTAGAAGATGTCATTGCTAATATTAACAAATTCCACTTGTTCTCCCTTACAGATAGACAACCTGAGGGATTTGCATTTCACTTCTTGGAAAATAAAGTGCAATTAAACCTGTATTTTTTGTTTGCGTGAGAGTTACTTCAGTCTGGCTTCATCTCTCCCTTGGAAACTGACTTAAATCAGCAATAATTTGATCTAGAAACTCTTCAGAGTGTGTTTTTGCTGCTGAACTCCTCTCCTGGGACAGGAGAGAAGGTCCCTTTGTGCTGTGACTGAGCTCCTCAGGCTCTCAGGGTGGTGTGAGATGCTGAGGTATGAACAGGGGTCACTGGCCTGGTTGTCCTCAGGCCTTAGGGGAGGGAGAGCCAAGGCATCTCAGAGGGGTTTGCAGCAGCCTGGTCCCTCCTGTGCTGCTCCATGGCTGCAGGAAGGTGCCTGCTCAGCTGCTGTCCCAGCTCCCAGCAGCTCCTCTGAGCCTCTCACCTCTAGGCAGGGATTGGGGTGCAGGAGTTGAGATTGAAACTTGTCCCTCCCACAGCAGCTAACACAACCCCTTCCCCACCTTGGCATCTGCCTCAGCCTGGAGCTCCCAGGTGTTTTCTGGCTCAGTCTCAGACTCTGAATTAACCATGTCTGTCCTCTGTGCCTGTGTGTGCACCTGCCTTGGGTGCAGGGAGCAATGGGAGGGATGGGTGTTCCAGGTTCTGAGGTCTGGGAGGTGCTTGGCTTACTGGCTTATACTGGGAGCCAGTGCAACCCCTCACCTGGGGCAGGTACAGCACACACCTGTCCCCATTGATTTTATGGGTAGACCTTATGTCCCAGATCTTGGGCTCCTCCCAGTCCCCCCAAACCCCTCACCTGTGTCCCCACACAGCTCTCACCTCTCCCATTGACCTCTGTGGGTAGACCTGATCTCCCTCCTGCCCCATTGACTTTAATGGGTAGACCTGGACTCCCAGGCTCAGCCCAGTAACTCCCAGTGAGCTCCCAGTGCTCTCACAGTATACCCTAGTCCCTCCCAGTCCCCCTAAATCCCCTTCAGACTCCAATGGCACTGGAAGGACAGTGGTACATAATGGGAGGGCACTGGGAGCTCCCCATGGCCAACCTTCACTCATAGTCCCTCCCATACTGGAGGCATTGGGAAAGACTGGAGGGGCCCTGGGAGGGATTGAGAGGCACTGGGAGAGTACTGGAATGGAATGAGAGGGCACTGGGATGTATTGTGGGGCTTGGGATGGGATCTGGGGGGTACTGGGACATGCTGGGGGTACTGACGGTGCACTGAGAGGGCACTGGGAGCGACTGGAAGGCACTGGGCTATATTGGGAGGGCACTGGGATGGCATTGAGCCTCACTGGGAGTGCAGTGGGAGGGACTGAGAGGGACTGGGAGGGCACTGGACGACACGGA